TAGGAATCCAACTTACAAGGGATGTAAAGGACCTCTTCAAGGAGAACTACAAACCACTGCTCAGTGAAATCAAAGAGGACACAAACAAATGGAAGAACATACCATGCTCATGGATAGGAAGAATCAATATCGTGAAAATGGCCATACTGCCCAAGGTAATTTATAGATTCAATGCCATCCCCATCAAGCTACCAATGAGTTTCTTCACAGAATTGGAAAAAACTGCTTTAAAGTTCATATGGAACCAAAAAAGAGCCCGCATCTCCAAGACAATCCTAAGTCAAAAGAACAAAGCTGGAGGCATCACGCTACCTGACTTCAAACTATACTACAAGGCTACAGTAACCAAAACAGCATGGTACTGGTACCAAAACAGAGATATAGACCAATGGAACAGAACAGAGTCCTCAGAAATAATACCACACATCTACAGCCATCTGATCTTTGACAAACCTGAGAGAAACAAGAAATGGGGAAAGGATTCCCTATTTAATAAATGGTGCTGGGAAAATTGGCTAGCCATAAGTAGAAAGCTGAAACTGGATCCTTTCCTTACTTCTTATACGAAAATTAATTCAAGATGGATTAGAGACTTAAATGTTAGACCTAATACCATAAAAATCCTAGAGGAAAACCTAGGTAGTACCATTCAGGACATAGGCATGGGCAAAGACTTCATGTCTAAAACACCAAAAGCAACAGCAGCAAAAGCCAAAATTGACAAATGGGATCTCATTAAACTAAAGAGCTTCTGCACAGCAAAAGAAACTACCGTCAGAGTGAACAGGCAACCTACAGAATGGGAGAAAATTTTTGCAATCTATTCGTCTGACAAAGGGCTAATATCCAGAACCTACAAAGAACTCCAACAAATTTACAAGAAAAAAACAACCCCATCAAAAAGTGGGCAAAGGATATGAACAGACATTTCTCAAAAGAAGACATTCATACAGCCAACAGACACATGAAAAAATGCTCATCATCACTGGCCATCAGAGAAATGCAAATCAAAACCACAATGAGATACCATCTCACACCAGTTAGAATGGCGATCATTAAAAAGTCAGGAAACAACAGGTGCTGGAGAGGATGTGGAGAAATAGGAACACTTTTACACTGTTGGTGGGATTGTAAACTAGTTCAACCATTATGGAAAACAGTATGGCGATTCCTCAAGGATCTAGAACTAGATGTACCATATGAGCCAGCCATCCCATTACTGGGTATATACCCAAAGGATTATAAATTATGCTGCTATAAAGACACATGCACACGTATGTTTATTGCAGCACTATTCACAATAGCAAAGACTTGGAATCAACCCAAATGTCCATCAGTGACAGACTGGATTAAGAAAATGTGGCACATATACACCATGGAATACTATGCAGCCATAAAAAAGGATGAGTTTGTGTCCTTTGTAGGGACATGGATACAGCTGGAAACCATCATTCTTAGCAAACTATCACAAGAACAGAAAACCAAACACCGCATGTTCTCACTCATAGGTGGGAACTGAACAATGAGATCACTTGGACTCAGGAAGGGGAACATCACACACCGGGGCCTATCATAGGGAGGGGGGAGGGGGGAGGGATTGCACTGGGAGTTATACCTGATGTAAATGACGAGTTGATGGGTGCAGCACAACAACATGGCACAAGTATACATATGTAACAAACCTGCACATTATGCACATGTACCCTACAACTTAAAGTATAATAATAATAAATAAATTTTAAAAAAATTAAAAAAATTTTTTTTTTTGAGACAGTCTCGCTCTGTTGCCCAGGCTAGAGTACAATGGCGCAATCTCGGCTCACTACAACCTCCGCCTCGTAGGTTCTAGCAATTCTTCTGCCTTAGCCTCCGAGTTGCTGGGACTACAGACGCGTGCCACTGCGTCCAGCTAATTTTTGTATTTTTAGTAGAGATGGGGTTTCACCATGTTGGCCAGGCTGGTCTCAAACTCTTGACCTCAGGTGATCCACCTCGGCCTCCCAAGGTGCCAGGATTACAGGCGTGAGCCACCGCACCTAGCCTATTTTTAAAATGTTTTAGGAATTAAATACTTATTATGTTCTTGACACAGCTCAAGAGAGTATAGAGTTTTTATTCTTATGGCTTTTTCTTTGGTGAGAGAAGCAAACAAACATGTGAATTAGAAAAGGAGAGTCACCTTCCAGATCATAGTGATGGAGTATAAACTACATTCCCCACCTCACAGGGTAGAGCTAGAAACAGTGAACAAGGCAGTCTTTGAGACTGTATACACTTTGGCACACAAGCCCCGCTCTGTCCAGTTTCGGTTGGATGCCATGCAATCCTGTGGTCTGTCTCTCAGTGTTTTAGAATGGGAAAGCTCTTTGGAGGTTTCCTCTAGAGCTTTCTGGAGGAGCAGAGTTAATTCTTATGGCTCCAAGAATCGATAGAGGGGAAAGAGAAAGCCAAAGCAGCTGAATGTCAAATATCCAGATCCAGGCAGTAGCTAGTGGCAGACCACAGGATGGGCAAGACATGCTTCTTTCCACTAAGATCTATAGCCAGGCCCCCACCATGCATCATTCAGTCCTCTTTCCCACCAAGGCCATGTCTTCCCCCACCTTGCCTACCCCTGTATCAGTAGCATGAAGTGTTCACCGTTGCAGCCACCAGCCCTGTGAAGCCATGTGTGGTGAAAGTGCCCTGGCATCGGGCATATGTGATCCCAACAAGCTCTTCTGCTGGCCCAGTTTGTGACCTTGGATAATCCCTGTTAAATGTCCAGACATAGATTCCACAATTGTAGAATGAGAATAACTCCTTCTCTGGATTGCTGTGAAGATTGGTGTGATAACATACGACAGAGCTTCTAGGATGGCACCTGGCAGAGAGGTGCTTGCCATATGTTAGTTCTCTTCCCCCTTTGCAGAAATAGCTGTGTATTTGGGTTGGGTCCCTTTTGCTGCCCTACAGCTTAGCAGACAATATGGCAGGTCAGCATTCTTCAAGGGAGATCTCATTCCTCGCCCTTTCCTATCCATTTTTAATTGTGACCTTATTAACACTACCATTTTGTCTATGAAAAGATGAATATGGCTACTCTCAAGTTCATAATTCTGTTTGATAGCATTCATTGACATTAGTGTGTGATTTGCCTGATAATCGATGTCTTGACTAATGGAAATATTTGTAAACCTTCTATCATGAATCCATAACTGACTTATTCTTAATTACAATCAGCTGCTGATTTGGCAACTGTGTATGTAAATTTGCCCAGATTTCAGGGAGTACATTTCACAAATGGAAAGAAGATGGCTCAGCAGCTGTCATTTCTCCAGCTTTGCATTAATTTACTGTTTGCCAGCTTGGGTTAATTTCTCGTTTTGGCAAGAGCTAAATATCTCATTCTCTTTTCTGTCCTCATATCCTTTTTCTTATCTTTTTATGATAATTTCATCCTGCCCAGATAGTATTCGTGTTGTTTATTTGGAGAGAGCCGGTGGTTCAGTTTTTTTTCCCATGTGTGAATTGAGTTTCATCAGTAAGTATTAAGTAGCATTTTGGCCTCAATAGAAATGATAAAATAAGTCAGGACAGAGTTATAGCCATGAGAATGACACTTTAGTTGGAGAGAGAGAACTTAGATTCCTGAAATATTGAAATAATCCTATTGAAAACAACAGGGAGATAAAAATCATCCATTATTAGATTAGAAAATAAAGCTGTGTACCGAAGGAGTAATAGGAATGTACAGGTGAGAGTGTTTCACATTTAACAAAATTTTTTTTTTTTTTTTTGAGACAGAGTTTCATTCTTTTACCCAGGCTGGAGTGCAGTGGTGCAGTCTTGGCTCACTGCAACCTCTGCCTCCCAGGTTCAAGTGATTCTCCTGCCTCAGCCTCCTTAGTAGCTGTGATTACAGGTGCCCACCACCACACCTGGCTAATTTTTATATTTTTAGTAGAGATGGGGTTTCGCCATGTTGGCCAGCCTGGTCTCAAACTCCTAACCTCAGGTGATCTGCCAGCCTCAGCCTCCCAAAGTGCTGGGATTACAGCCGTGAGCCACCATGCCTGGTAGCAAAATGTATTTTTGCATTTCATTCACAACAGTCGTGAAGTGGGGTTGATCCTTAGACATACAAGTGGAAAACTGAGGCTTAGGGACATTGAATGGCTTACCTAGGGTCAAAGGGCTTCTAAATGACAAAGTCTGGAGGTCAGGTCTTCAGACTTCATATGGAAAGCTTTTATCTGTATCCTATTCCCTCTCTCTCACTGCAATTAAAATAAGAGAAATGTGTTCGATTAGAGGTCTGGGGAGGTCACATGGAAAAAGAGTGGACCCAACTAGGTCTGATTTGGGTTGATGAAGAATAGGCAAGACTTACCCCAAGCCCAGATAACACACTTGACAAGTGTGGCATCTATGGATACAAAAAACCACTAATGGTAATGAAGCATCTTTTAAACTTCTTAAAATTTCAACTCATAATAAGAAATACACTTTACATTTCAGTGTATTATGCACTAACATAACTTTGTGCCAAAACAAAATTTCATGAACCAGTAATTAAATATATACAGTATACCAATTTATGCTATTTTAGTTGTTTAAAAAATGCCAGCTATGATGCAGCAAGAGGTTGTTGACCATGCTTTGAATCTCAGACACCAGACGATAAGGTTCCCATGGTGCCTAGTAGTAACAGGTGATGCTGAATAGATAATAAGGGGCTAGGCTGCAGGGATGTGAAGTGCCAGGACTGGCCAGGTAGACAGAATGGGGTGAAAGTTCTTTTACCACCAAATACTCAACCTTTTTGAAAGGTTTTCAACCTATCACTCAGGCAGACTTTCATCATGGTAATGTATAGAAGGGGAAATTATTAAATGTTAAGTTTGGGTAATATGAGAGTTTAAAAAAATTCCTTTAGTTATATATTACATTTGCATTGGAAAGTATTACATATTTTGAAAGTACTGTTAATGCTTTTTGATCCTTTGCTGTTTTTAAAGGAAAATGATGCTGCTGCTCTATGAAGAAGGCCTCCGGGTTGTCATACACACCTCCAACCTCATCCATGCTGACTGGCACCAGAAAACTCAAGGGTTCGTAGGGGCCTGCTCACTTCCTGGCAGTGTGTGTGCTGAGAAAGGTCAAAAGCCGGAACATTCGCTTTATTCTTTTTTCTATTTTTTTTAATTGTAAAAATAACACACATGGCCTAGAAAAGGAGTTGTATGCAGAAAAAGTTACTGTATTCTTTTACTACCTGCCCTATTCTCACTTCTTGGAGTAACCAGTGTTAACAGGAGCATCATCATCCACAGCTACCTCTATGGTACATGTAAACATACATTACTATTTACACACAGTAGTGTCTTCCTAGTTTTTAGAGAAGTGGCATCATATACACTCTACAGATAAGTAGAGGCAACAGCACATGCAGAGGATCTGAGGCAGAAAAGGGGTTACAGAATGAAAGATCTGAACCCATTGTTTTCCCAGTAGGATTTACCAGATAGCTTTTGTGATTTCTCCTTGCTCGTGTACTCACCTGTATTTTTGCTTGCCGCTTCCCAAACAGGAATCAAAGGAAAAGTTAGGGTAGGGCCTGGTCATGTTAATAGTGTGCTAAATATTTCCCCACTCCCCTAGTTGGTGTGTTTTCTTTGAAACAAATTTAAGCTGGTGTCTTTTTAGAGCCTTTAGTGTGTTAATAAAGTTGTGAATCTCCAAGAGAAGAATTGAATATGAAAGCTTTTCTGAACTTTATAAACTACTAACCCTCTGTACTTGGTGCACATATGCTAGATCCAGGTTTTGATCCCCTTTTCAAGAGGGGTTTGCTTTTTAAAAGGGATTTTTAGGGATTTGCTCAAATCAAGTTCAGCTATTCTTGATTATGACTAACTTTAATTTTCTTCTATTGAAGCCATTTTGCACATCTATTCCTGTCCTAGAGAAGAGCTGGTTAACAAACAGCCTTCTGTGTTGGGAGAAACTCGGACGTTTGTCTAGCATCATATCTGGGTTCACGTTTTCTCTGTCATCCTCCTCTGCCTCACCTTGCCCCATATCATTGCCTAGCTTGGGCTAGAACTCCTAATTGGAGTGTATTACGTTTAGCTAAGCTCTGCTAGCCCAGGTTACATCGTTGTTTGTTTGTTTGAGACGGTCTCACTCTGTCACCCGGGTTAGAATGCTGTGATATGATCACGGCTCACTGCAACCTCAACCTCCTGGGCCCAGGTGATCCTCCCACCTCAGCCTTCTGGGTAACGGGGACTGCAGGCATGCACCACCACACCTGGCTAACTTTCTGTATTTTTTGTAGAGACAAGGTTTTGCCTAGTTGTCCAGGCTGGTCTCGAACTTCTGGGCTCAAGCGATCCACCCGCCTCAGCCTCCCAAAGTGCTGAGATTATAGGTGTGAACCACTGTGCCCGGCCCCAAATTACATCTTAGTGTGAGCTAAAATAACTTTCCAGCTTCCTTCAACAGGTCTTGCTTCAACCTGAGTGCGCTGCGCAGGACAAATGTAATCTCTTTCCCTTAAGGCAGTCCTTCAGAGTTTGAAAGGGAGTCTTGTCTGTGAGCCTCACATCTCTTGTTCCCTCCCCACTCCCTTGCCCCACCATAGCATGTGGCTTTGAGCCCCCTAGCCGTAATTCCTGGTAGTCTTTCTATAAACACGTTACAGTTTTTCAGTATCCCACTTAAAATACGCTTTTCAGAATGAAGTGTGGCTCTGACTGGTCCAGGGTTGAGGGGATAGCTGCTCTGTCTCTAAGTCTCAGCTGTAGCACTTTCTTGATCTACTAAATTTATGGTTAACTATGCCTTTGATACCCCAAGAGCTTCTAAGCCAGCTCTCCTGAGCTGCCAGATTGGGTGTGGAGATTCATGTAGCCCTAACAAAAGGAAATGAGATTAATGTAGCTTGTTCCCATGAAACAATAATTAATGTTACTAAAGGGATTTCTCAAGTTAGCGCTCAGCCTCACATGGTTCCAAGAATCCCACCCTGGGCCTCCAGCTCGTTCTGAAGTTGGAAGCTTAGCTTACAGGCAGTAGTACCTTTTTGGGATTCTCTGGGGTGGTTGCTAGGAGGGAAGAGGCAGAGGTAAGGGCTTGGGTGTTCCTTTTATTTAAAAAAATATTTTTTAATTTAAAATTTTAGAAAACTTACTGACTAGGTAGGAACGGTTCAAAACTCAGAAAGTACCAAGACTGTGAAATCTTCCTCTAGCAGCCATCCTCGTGTGGGATCCTATTATTTCATGCTTGGTCTATATTCTACTCTCTAATACTTTGCATTTCATGTTGTTTAGGGTAATTTTAAAACTTTTGAAAGCAGTTTTTATGTATAATCTCACTTCATAATTGGTCCGTGGTTCTGCTAATCCCCTTCAGCTGCCGGATGGTTCACCTGTTGATTTCTCACTTTCAAAATTAGAACGAGAGTTGCATTCAAAGCTCACAGTAAAAAAATAAAATAAAATTATTTGGCTCATTATAATAATTTTCTCATCTTATTTTGTGACGTGTTAAAAATGCCTCATATCTCATCATCTTAGTTTAGAAAGTCATTTGTCCTCTTTCTCATCCTGAACTCACCTGTGAGTGAATCTCTGATCCCGGGGGAGCCTCACTCACGTGGAAACTTTGAGGTGTTATTGCAAGGGGGAGGTCCTCCACATCTATCCAGCCCAACCTGGTCATTTTACACATGGAGGCAAAGGCCCAGAGAAGTCACAGGGCTTACCCAAAATGGTATAGTCAGCTAGCCAATCTGGGTCCAGAACCTGGGCTCCAGCCCTCGTCACACCATGCTACCTCCTGTGCTAAGTGCCTCCCCAGGGTGGGAAGCAGGGGTATGAAGTGCCCCTTGCTAGAAACTTGCAGAAGATGCGCTACCAAGAGTCTTTGCAGTTCTGGATGACTTCTGCCCTGTTGGCCTGCATCTTACCAGTCTCCTTCAGGGGCTGCCAGGCGAAAGAGAAATTAGGCAGTTTCTCTTTCAGCTTAATAGATAGAACCCAGGGTGGGGAAAAGGGGAGTAGCCACAGAAGGGGAAAAATGTAACACCTGATACTTTTGACTGCTCCTGGAAGTCATTGCTTTGCAACAGCCCAGTGAGGCAGCCCTGTTAACCCCACTTTTTTGCATTTGAAGAACCTGAAGCACAAAAGGTTTGAAGCCATTTTAGTAATCTACTGTGAAGCAGTTTGTAGAAGGATTGGGATTAGATATGGTTGTTTTCTATTTACGGATATAATGTAGAAGTTTTGGCAAAGAGCACTGTTTTCCTCTGGGGAAAAAGAATGAAATGAAAGATGTCTATTATGCTTCTTCAGTGAATTAAGTGTTTGAAAGTTTGAGGTTATTGTAATGTCACTGAATGTGATACTTAATCCAGGCACCAGGAAGTATAAGACATAAAAATATGCTGCTATAGCACCTACATTATGAAAATGGGTTTGTTGATTGAAAATAGATTTTTCACATACACTTTTGGTATAGATAACACAATTCTTATTTCACATTTGGCTGAAGAGCTGCCTTGGTGCAGACAAGGGCAAATTCTTGCTGGGATTACCACTAGTAGCATGAATTTGCTCTAACTGTTAAGAGTAGAATTCTTAACTCTTACCATCAAGTCTTAGAAAGCAATATATAGGTGCAGAGGTAATAGGAGGAATAAGGAAGGTTTGGCGAGTGAGAGGGAGCGTGGAGGGATGTGGGTTGGAAGAAGTGAGCAGAGCCCAGGTCTTACTGAATCTTAAATTCATGGCAAGGCATTCAGGAATAATTCTGAATGTGATGGGAAGCCATTGGAGTAGTGTGCTCACATTTATGTTTTGTGTTTCCTAAAATTACTTACCATGTGGAGACACCGAGAATTCACCTCTTTCTTAGAATGAAGGCATAATCGATACAGAGATCATTGTCATCAGTTGTGTGCCTGACTGTTAAAGGTTATTTTTTTTAATTCCAGAATATGGTTGAGCCCCTTATACCCACGAATTGTTGATGGAACCCACAAATCTGGAGAGTCGACAACACATTTTAAAGCTGATCTCATCAGTTACTTGATGGCTTATAATGCCCCTTCTCTCAAGGAGTGGATAGATACCATCCACGAGCACGATCTCTCCGAAACGAAGTATGTGCCAACTTACCAATTTGGGGCGCTTATGATAGGTTCATACCTTGCGAGCCTCATGAGGTCTGGAATGCAGGGGCCTGGAAAGATATGGGGTGAAATCTAGCCAAGCTTCAGGACGTGATGAGGGGATGAACAGATTCTATCACATCTGTATCTCGTGGTTCTCAGGCATGAAAGTGACAGCCAGTGAATCTTCATGTTTACCTTAGCCTCCCACTGGGGTACTCTCACAATTATTGAGTTCTTTGTCTGATACTTTACATCTTGTAGGTGTTCCATCATTAGTTGATTTGCTTGAAAAATGAATTTGAGAGTCAATTCAAGAAAATGGGTTGGCTCTTGGATCATTTCTTGATTATATTAGTTTTCATGTGTATTTTGTCTTTTTTTTTTTTTTGGTGCCCAAAGCACATCACTATGTTTTATAACTTGTGTTTTTATGTCTTTTAGTGTTTATCTTATTGGTTCAACCCCAGGACGCTTTCAAGGAAGTCAAAAAGATAATTGGGGACATTTTAGACTTAGGAAGGTAACAGAACTTTTACTATTTTAACATTTTTTAAAAATTTAATGTATATTCTTTCTTTTAAAATAATTTTATATTTTGATGCAGCTTCACAATATTTCTGCACAATTCTGGGCAAATAGGTACTTGATAAATTGATAATTATAGTTCTTAGTAATTACTGCTTTTTAATGTGTTTTGCCTCTTTTATAGCTATAGGCTATTAATGGCATAAATATACTCTAGTTTTTATTTGTAATAAAGATAGAGGCTTCCTATTCATACACATATTATAGCTTTTGATTATTCAGCATATCAAGTTTTAAGATATAAATTCAACAAACAGAAAATGTTGAGTAAAGACTACAACTGAGCTATATTTTGATTATTAAACCAGTGCCCTTAATAAAACTAATTACAAAAATAATACTTGCTGCTGATATGAAAATACACAAAGAAAGGTCATAAAATAAAATAAGTTGAAGATTAAAGTTTTTTTCATCTCTTTTTAGGTGGTTTACTGACCTTAATAAATTCCCTGGCCAGGCGTGGTGGCTCATGTCTGTAATCCCAGCATTTTGGGAGGCTGAGACAGGCAGATCACAGCCCGTCAGGAGTTTGAGACCAGCCTAGCCAACGTGGTGAAACCCCGTCTCCACTAAAAATACAAAAATTAGCCGGGCATGGTGGCGAGCACCTGTAATCCCAGCTACTCGGGAGGCCGAGGCAGGAGAATCACTTGAACCCAGGAGGCGGAGATTGCAGTGAGCTGAGACTGCGCCATTGCACTCCAGCCTGGGCGATAAGAGCGAGACTCCGTCTCAAAAAAATAAATAAGTTCCCTAAAGTGACTTTCTTTAAAGCCTTAACCTCTTATTCTGTAAACTATTTAAAATGTAAGAATTTTCCCTTGATTAATGAAACTTTTTATTTTAATTTCCTTTTGTGAAATGAGATCACAACTTAAAGCAGGCAGGATCTTGTGAAGACATCTTTTATGTCTTGGCCTAGAGAGGAAGTTGAGCACATTGGCCTGTGCCCAGCCTTGGAGGCAGGTATCCATAGCTGGGTTCAAACCCTACTTTGTTATCTACAAGCCATGTGACCTTGACTTGTTCCTTAACATACATCACTTGTCATCTATGAAGTGGACATAATAATAGTACTTCCCTCTGGTGATTGTGAGGGTTAAATGAAATGATGAATATAAAACAGTACAGGGTACATGGTAAGTCTTCAGTGCACATACACGGTTGTTTGTGGCCTAATGTCTAATGGTTTAGATAGGCTAGATAATAGCACGTATTGTGTATGATCACCATCTGATACTGAAAGTTCAACTATATGTTAAAGAGTTTTCAAACCACTTTTTACACGCAGTTGCTTATGTTGCGCCACAGCTTTCTTCCAGGAAGGCAGGCTGGTGATTAGGTGCCTGTTTCCACTGAAGTGTAAATCTAAGCCCGAGACTTGTCCAGGATAGGGTGGCCCTTCAGGGGCTGAGCACTGCAATAGAAACTGGGTGTTGTAAGTTGTCGGTTCAGCTCTCTTCCCTACACCATGATGTACCCAAGGTGGACATGGAAACTTTGGGCTTTTTGGGAAGTGTATGTGTAAGTATTAATGCCTAAGCTGTGTTAAGGAAAATAATACATATTAAACAACACATCAGTCAGAATATGAGCTACAGTTTATTTTTCTGCTCTCTCCAGCCCTCTAGGTAGGCATTCAGCACATATTTAAGTGGATAAGGTTTCCAAATATTTTCTGAATTGTTTCTGCAGCTTTGCATAATTACCAAAGCAGGAAATGCAGATCAGTCTTCTGCAGTGTTTTAGCTGGTATGTGTATGTAAATATTCTCTTTTATGTTTAGACCATCACAGCTGCCTGGAGCTCAAGTGTTAAACTATGAATGTTAAACCTCTTTCAAATGATAGGAGTCAAAATATGTAATCCTTCTAGGTATGGTTTAAATGTCAGTAGCAAAAAACTCACTTTGTTTCCTCTGCTGTCACACTACAACAGTCAACACAGAAAACTGTGACCAAATATGTGTGGGGTTTTCCTCATACACAAAGCAGGGGACACCAGCTGGGTGTCCTCTAGTTCACTTCAATTCTTATGCTGTCTTCCTGGAGATGTATAAAGAAAGTCACTTTAAAGAAAGTGATGGTATAAAGAAAGTGACTTTTTATTCCAAAGCTGGCTTAGAGGAATAAGTACAGGCTTCCTGTCTTAAGGGCACTGCTTTGCTCTTGGCCCAGAAAGTGGACAGTTTTAAAAGGGGGCCTAGCATGAATGGCACGCAGAGGAGGAAGCAAGCAGGTGGATACTTCCTTATGTTCTGCCTTCTCTACCAGGCAGTCCATTTGGTCTCTTCCTGGGCAGAACTAGGTTGTAAAGATGGCCGAAACTCTCCAGGTGGGAGAGTTTCTTAGTGGGCATACTTTGGGTTGTAAATTTACTGCTGTCCCTCAAGGCAGTGCCCTGGTGGGAGAAAGTTCTGCTCTGGAGCTTCTAAGCACAAAGTTAGATGAACTTGCCCTGTAGGGAGTGGCTGCTAAAGGAAAAGTAAAAGGTTATAATTGCATTTCTAAAGGGCTAAGTAGGAAGTGGGGAAGGAGTTGGGGGGAACAGTGAAAAGAGAAAAGTAGGGAAAAAATAATTGAAAAAATACTTTTTTTTTTTTTTTTAAAGAAATATGGGGGTAGCCTCAGATCCCATAGATTAAGGGCTCCGTCCCACAAGACTGTCCCTCTCCCTCAGACACCAGTTGCAAGTCTGGGCCTCCAGAACTTCTGGCTGACCAGCTTCAAGTTGAGGTTCCCGTGATCTTCTCTTTGGGTTTGATTAATTTGCTAGAGCAGCTCACTGAACTCGGGGAAACACGTAATGTTTACTGGCTTATTATAAAGGATACAGATGAAGAGATGCATAGAGCAAGGTATAGGGAAGGGGCACAGAGCTTTCATGCCCTCTCTGGGTGCACCACCACTGTCCAGCAGCCTGCAGGTGTTCAGCTGTCAGAAAGCTCCCTAAACCCTGTCCTTTTGGGTTTTTAATGGAGGCTTCATTATATAGGCATGGTTGATTACATCACTGGCCACTGGTGATCAGCTCAACCTTTAGCCCCTCCTATCCCTGGAGGTTGGGGGGTTGTGCCAAAAGTCCCAGTCTTCTAATCATGCCTTGGTCTTTATCGTGACCAGCCCCCATCCTGAAGTTACCTAGGGTCTGCCTGCCATCAGTCTCATTAATATACAGAAAGACATCACATTGGAAATCCCAAGGATTTTAGTAGTTGCATGCCAGGAAACAGGGATGAAGACCAAATACATATTTCATAGTATCAAAGGTGCATTAAACAATTGTGATTTCAAGTAAAAAATCTAATTTCATATGACAAGTTGGTGGTTTATCTGAAATTTCTACTGAAATGGGCCTTTTTAAACTTTTTAAATCTGTTTTTGCTTTTAGCACAAATCAAAGAATTTTGGAAAGGAGACCTTCTGTCCATCTACTCCATTAAAAATATGTTTTTAGTATTTAAAAAAAAATTTCCCAAAGAAGAAAAAATGTATATGTGTGGGTATGAAATTGATCATTAGTATTTTCAGCTTTTCTTGTTAATTAGGCATTCCAAGAGCAGAAAACTGTTTTCAGGTATTACAGCCTTTCTGTTAAGATTATTTGAGTCACGTTAACATTCATTTTTATTCTTTCCCAGCTTCTGAAAGACCATGCCTCATCCATACCTAACGCAGAGTCCTGGCCTGTCGTGGGTCAGTTTTCAAGCATTGGCTCCTTGGGAGCTGATGAATCAAAGTGGTTATGTTCTGAGTTTAAAGAGAGCATGCTGACACTGGGGAAGGAAAGCAAGACTCCAGGAAAAAGCTCTGTCCCTCTTTACTTGGTGAGTTCTCGTTCTCATTGAGGTCATTTACTTTTATTCTCTACACAGGAGAATTGAAAATTGGTCCTCTTTGTAATGGAGAGATGTTTTATTCTGTGATTTTTTTTTTTTTTTTTTTTTTTGGTGTGGGAGGGGGCGGGGTACAGAAAGAGCAGTACATTAGCATCGTCATTTGTAATCAAGTTGCCTTAATATCCAGTGCTAAGAGCTTGCTGATTTATTCAGGAGCTCCATTGCAAACACAGACTGGCCTGTGATTTTTCTATCCTTTCTTTCAGGTTGCTGCACCAAGGAAGAAAATATTTGATGTAGCATAGCCAGCAGAATTAGGGGCATTTTTAATTATTTAGAGACCTGTGAATTAATAGTTAATTTTCCATTCAATGTTAACTTGAATTTCAAAGGAAAAAATATTCAAATTGAAGTATAATTTTACATCAAATATGGTTCTTGTTTCATTACTAATTCATTTTTTTGTAAGATGAGAACTTTTAAAAATTTAAAGTATATTCTCTAATTTAAAAGTATTTTTAACAGATTTTCATTTTCTTAAAAGCTGATTATCATTCTTTTTTTTCAACATGGTACCTTCTGAGTTTTATTGTTTTTCTCTTATTTTTAGATCTATCCTTCTGTGGAAAATGTGCGGACCAGTTTAGAAGGATATCCTGGTAATTCTTGGGGAGACTGTGTCAGTTGTGTTTTATGTATATTTCATGAATGTCCTGGTAAAATTTTACCAGTATTGGTTAGAAATTTGGAGATGGTTTTCACTTAACTGTATAAGGATCATGAAAATAGGCAATATCAAGCTCTACGTTCTGCAGATGATACCCCTCAGTTTGGGTGTGTTATTAATCCTCACAGAAACCCTCTGCACAATGGTTTTCATTTTTACTGGTAAGGTAACCAGCAGGTTAGTTGTCCAGACAAGATAGCCAAATAAAATCAACTTCCCCTTACTCTTCAGTGCCTTTTCAGAGCTTATCCAGCATACCTTCCTCTCATCTCTTTCCACATCCTCCCTTCCTGTGTTTGAGGTACCATGTGGTCCTTTTAAATGCCTGATACAGATATATTTAAGGTCTGGAATTTTTAAAATTTTGCCTTTGGTGTAACATTGTTGATGTGTCTATTCTGTCAAGGGCTTCACCTGCAAATGCCTAAGGTTTTTTGTAGGCATCCGTCAACCTTGTCCATTTCCCTTATACTCATACCAGGCACTAAACCTTTATTCGGAATTCAGCAGCCCCCTAGTTAGTGTAATCAGGAGGTGTTAACCGAAAACCCAAATAGTGGCTGTCTCTGGAAAAAGCAAAGTCTAATTGGCATTGGCATTTGCTGATGGCTAGAGCAGAATGTGCTGAATTGGTCCATTTATTGCTTATCAGGCTCAATAAGAAAAATCTGCCAGAAAAATCTCGCTAGAGTTTGGAGTGTATTTGCCCATTTTTTTTGCTTTTTAATGGAAAAACCAAAATTACTTCACTGAGACTCAGGGATACAGTAGTGGTTTTTCTTTGATCCTCTTTTTGCGCCTCTAATAGGCTAGATTCATTCAAAGTATATGTTTAATGGGGAACAACATGGTATTTTTAACAAAGCTGTTTTATAACTGGCTTTGAAACTGAATGTTTTTAGTTATTTGAAGTTGAAGACAGGACATGCCCTATTTGATATGTCAGAGATGTTTGGATATAGATCTCTTTGGGTATAGATCAGTGTGGAGAAGTTCCAGCATGTGTTTGGAAAGTCACTGATAAATCCACTGTGGAGTTTTCTTCGTTTCAAAAATGAGCAAGCATTGACTTCTAATTGTATTTCCACTTGGAACTTTCTTTATTCTCTTTGCAAGAATAAGGCTTTTAGAATTCCTTTTTTCAAACTGAACTGTTTACTGAATGTTTTGTTTTTTAGCCATTCTTTTCTATTTGTCAGAATCTGTTCAGCCAGTACAAAGTCTGTTTGGAAATAGTGTGTAAAGGTGAAGTAGAAGGAGCACTGACATCTCGTCCTAGATTTCCTCCCCAAGTGTCACGGTCTTGGGCAAAAACAGAGGCTGTCCAGCTGTGTCTTATTTGCATAAGGAGAGTAGGATGGGCCAGGATTCTAACACCTCAGATCTATGCAGTTATAGATGTTAAATTACCATCACCAAGTAATTCAATTATAATTTTTTCTTTTCAAAGTGTACTTTTAATGGGGAAAAGCGTGGTATTTTTAACAAAGCTGTTTTATAACTGGCTTTGAAACTGAATGGTTTTAGTTATCTGCAGTTGAAGTTTTGAAACTGAATGGTTTTAGTTATTTGCAGTTGAAGCTTTTGCAGGAAAAAGCTCTGTTCCGCTTTTCTTGGTGAGTTCTCGTCCTCAATGAGGTAATTTACTTTTATTCTCGACACAGGAGAAGAATTGTAAATAGTCCTTACATTCCTGATGGGAGAAATCTTTTTAATGTGTTCATAATTCCTGCTCTGAATGTTGAATGGGTTTCTAAAAAGTGATTAGCAAGTTGTCATTAGTTTTCACTATGTTTGTGTTACATGAGCCTTATTTAAAGGCATCCCATGACTATACTTTGTAAAGTATATGATCATCACTTACTTTTGCTTATAAGTCTGGATGTTTATAAGATTTGTATAAAGTTAAAACTGAAGGAAGGAAATCTCATTAAGAGAACATATCTAATGCAAGTATAGAGATATTCTTTCAAATAACTGTTCTGTAAGATGAAGTAATAGAAGTAGTTTTTTTCCTGTTACCTTCTTGCTGTTTATTATAGATTTTCCTCTTAATGAGGGCTCCTCAAATTATATTTCATAATTTTTATTGTTTTATTTTTCTTTTAAAAGCTGGGGGCTCTCTTCCCTATAGCATCCAGACAGCTGAAAAACAGAATTGGCTGCATTCCTATTTTCAGTAAGTAATTGGTTTAGACTGCTGCTATTGCTTCTTTAGGAATTAGAATGTTATTTATGTCACTGGTTTGTTTTTTTTAAAAAGGAACTTTATGTAATATAGCTATATTCTTTCATCTACATATGTTAGTGATAGAAATAATTTAAAACAAGGTTTTGAATTTTTTTTTGGAATAGGTTCTTAATACCAAAGAGGAAAATTTATTGCTGTGAGGTTTCTATTTAAATATTGGCATGCCAAGAAAGATAAATAAAAGATCATGCTGGGTAGTTTAGAATTTACATAAGCAGTATTTTAGTTCATTTTTCCAAAATATAAAGTATCATTATTCTGTCTGTACCATCATATGTGCAGCTGCAAGCTTGGTGAGGGCAGATTCTATGCTGCTGTTTCCTGAGGATACAGGATAGTATCTGGCATGTTGTCAAGAGTTCAGTAAATGCTGAGTGGACAAGTGAAGGGAATGTGCTTCATCCTTCTCCAGCCACAGCAGTTGCACAGCCTGCATATGCAAGGCCAGTCTGTTTCATGCTTGTCTCAACAGGTGTTTGCTGTGCTGGTTAGCCAGAAATGAAAGTAGAATTACTTTGAATTATAGCTTTCAGCTGTAATTCAGTGTGTTATCCTGAAGCTTTTCTTTAATGCTTTCTTGAGAGGTTTTTCCTTACAGAGGACATTTTTTTATATTGAACTCCTTTCAGTATTATATTATTAAATTCACTTGAATGAAGACAGTGATGGTACCTACCTAAGCCTGATTCTGTTTTCACAGACGATCTGGTAATCTGGGGGGACCATCCTCCTATAAGTAAGGATTGTTGCTTCATTATATAGGTTCCCATAGAACCATAGTCTACAGTATTGGAAACTTAGAAACCAAACTCAGATTTGTGAATGTCAGCATTTGACTAAAGTGTTTCTGCCCTCGCTTTTCAGCATTCATTTTTTTCATATACTGTTTGTATTTTGTCTTTTTTGTATTTTGTTTCATTCAACAAGCTTTTGCTGAGCCTGTATCGTAACACTCCATGGGAGCATGATTCTTCCCTTTAAGGAGCTCACAGTTCAGGCAGGAGACATATGCACACATGCTGTTAAAAGCACAACAGAAGGGCCAGGTGCCGTAGCTCACACCTGTAATCCCAGCACTTTGGGAGGCCGAGGCGGGCAGATCACGAGGTCAGGAGATCGAGACCATCCTGGCCAACATGGTGAAACCCTGTCTCCATTAAAAATACAAAAAATTAGCTGGGCGTGGTGGCGGGCACCTGTAGTCCCAGCTACTCGGGAGGCTGCGGCAGGAGAATGGCATGAATCCAGGAGGTGGAGCTTGCAGTGAGCCGAGATTGCGCCACTGCACTCCAGCCTGGGCAACAGAGCAAGACTCTGTCTCTAAAAAAAAAAAAAAAAAACCAGAAATAATATGTATGCGTGTATGTATGTTCATGGCAAAAATGGAAAGGCTATATGCTGAAAGGTTACAGTTCTTGTGAGAAGTGGGAAGTTTGTAATTCTAAAATGGGCATGCGTTATTTGAACGCAGTTGTATAAAATATCACAGGTCACAGAGTCGTGTAGCCACTGTTAATTTTTAGATAATAGGCTTTTTCTTTTCATGCAGTTTCCTAATATTAGGATTAAGATCAATTTGTTTTATTTTGTAATTAGTGACTTGTGTCTTTTCTGTCACTAGCAAATGGTCAGCTGAGACTTCTGGCCGCAGCAATGCCATGCCACATATTAAGACATATATGAGGCCTTCTCCAGACTTCAGTAAAATTGCTTGGTTCCTTGTCACAAGGTAAACAGTCCTTACATTCCTGATGGGAGAAATCTTTTTAATGTGTTCATAATTCTTGCTCTGAATGTTGAATGGGTTTCTAAAAAGTGATTAGCGAGTTGTCGTTAGTTTTCAGTATGTTTATGTTACATGAGCCTTATTTAAAGGCATCCCATGACTAATCCCTTTGTAAAGTATATATGATCGTCACCTGCTTTTGCTTATAAGTCTGGATGTTTGTAAGATTTGCATAAAGTTAACATTTACTTCTATTATTTAATACCTCAATAGGGGTTATGCAAATTGACATTTGGGGTAAGTACAGAAGAATAATGAAATGTTAAAATTAATATTTTTTTCTTAGTTTCTCCTTAAGTAATTAAAACCCGAGGCATTCAAATCTCTTATGTGTCCTTTTCTAAAACATCTTTAAGATGTAATTCACATACCATAAAACCTGCCCATTTAGTCTCTACTATTTAATGGTTTAGTATAGTCACAGAATTATGTAACCATTGCCATAATCTAAATTTAGAATATTTTCATCACCCCTATAAGAAACCACCTACCTGTTGGCATTTTTGTGTCTATTTTTATAGGAAGATAAATTGCTATGCCCTTTGAAAACTAGAACTTTAGTTCCTGACTCCCAGGCTGAACCGAACGATTAGGCATCTCTTCATTATTCAGTAACATAATTAATGTCAATAGCAACTAATTAAAGTATCACAGAGTAGAATTATTTCTTTAAGAGAGGAACAGCACTCATGAACAAACTTTTAAACAAAAGAGCCACTTACATCTTCTTGGAGAAAGAGAAAGATTTATTTTAAGGAACTGGCTCATGCAGTTGTGGGGGCTGGCAAGTCCAAAATCCATAGGGCAAACCAGCAGCTTGGAGATTTAGTAAGACTTGGTGTTGCAATCTTGAGTTTCTTTCTACTTTATTGGAAAAGTTTAATTTAATGTCTGTTTGGGTGTTGTTTTCCCTCAAAGTGTAATAAAAAGGTGATGTACTTCACAGAAATTGCGTATTATTGATTCTGTTTCAAGGGTATTAAGGGAAGTGGAGATTAAAGTAACCCTGTGAGTAATCTTTTTCTAAAGGCAAAGTTTTTGTAGTTCAGTTCAATGGTAGTGTGTGCTTCACTGTGGGAACACAAAGAGCCAGGAAGTATGAGCCCTGCCATGCATGTGACCCTGTATCCTAGGTGTCTACCTTTGTAAGCACTGTATTGTAAGCACTCTTAGAAATGTATTGCCTTGCTGGGGCAGAGGCAGGATCAAAAGAGAGATCAGCTAAACTAAGTAAAGAGGCCTGCTGTTGTAAGGAGGCCTAGAAGTAAGCCTGAGAGAAAACCCAGATGGATTAGAAGGAACTAGTGAAGACAAAGGCCATGGAGGTGGGAAAATACACGGGGTTTTCAAGGAACAGCCGAGTGATTCCATGAGGCTATGTAAAAGGAAACACAGGTTCAGATACCTTTAGCATGTATTTTCTAAAATTAAGTCAGAAAACATCCACTGTCAGTTTACTCATTTAGTATCTTGTCAGTTTTGTACTGTGAATATCTGCTTTAATGTTGAATGGCTGTTACTAAATTAAGCAAATTATAGTTATTTGAAGTTTATTGTAAGAACTTGAAATTTGTCATTATGGATTTGTAGCTTCTAGTTTTATTCTGTAATAACTGGACTGAAAGCTATATCTACTTCCTAAATGTTTAAAGATTAATAGCAACAACATTCATTCAGCAATTTCAATACGCCAGATTGTTCTGGGTGAGCAGTCATGTGTATTTACTTATTTAATTCTCACAACAGCTCTATGATGACCAGGAGGCACAGAGTGATTAATAAGCTGCCTAGTATCATGCAGTAATAAGTGGTGGAACCCAGACAGCAGCACGCATCTTCTCTACTGTCTGATGCCCCTCTTAATCCACGTACAGGTTTAGTGTACCTGTTTTCTTTTTTTTTTTGAGACAGAGTCTTGCTCTGTCACCCAGGCTGCAGTGCAGTGGTGTGATCTCCACTCACTGCAAGCTCTGCCCCCTGAGTTCACGCCATTCTCCTGCCTCAGCCTCCCATGTAGCTGAGACTACAGGCGCCCGCCACCGCGCCCAGCTAATTTTTTGTATTTTTAGTAGAGATGGGGTTTCACAGTGTTAGCCAGGATGGTCTCGATCTCCTGACCTCGTGATCCACCCGTCTCGGCCTCCCAAAGTGCTGGGATTACAGGCGTGAGCCACCGCGCCCGGCTGGTGTGCCTGTTTTCTACAAAGACTAGTTAATTCCGAAGAAATTGTGTCAGGCTTTACTTTGATTGTTGTATAAAAGAGGAAAGGGACATTGGGCATTCCAATATGATTGCAAGATTTCTAAGAAACATAAATAACAACTTAGATACATAGAGCCCACTCTCTCAGCCCTTCCATAACCAAGGAAAGTGTAGATTCCCAATATAAGTGGCATCTCCCAGTAAGCAGCTCCCTTGATTAGGTTTGGACATTTTGTCTGTCTGTCACTTTTTCTGAATCTGCCAGAAAGAATGTTCCCAAACCGAACTCATCATATGTAGATGGAGATTTGTTTTCCCAACATTCTTGTTTGCCCTTGTGGCACCTGTCTCTTATTACCAGGTTTAAAGCCTGAATGTCCTCTTTCACTCTTCCTTCAAATGTTGGGCAAACATTTACTGAGGTCCTCCTGTGGATGCCTGGCACTCAGGATAAAACAGAAGATCTAGATAGTGCCTTTTAGATGCTCACAGTCTCTGATGTGAGGAGCCAGACACAGAAATAATTACAATAGGAAGAGACCAATTCTGTGCTTGAGGTGGGCACGTGGATGCTTTGGAAATAGCTATCAAAGCCTATTCATCTTTGAAATGTTTCAAAAGTTTCCTATACCAGTCCTTGCAATTACCAGGTCAGAAACTTATCACCTGGACTTCTGAAAGGGTTTCCTATCTGTTGTGCCATCACGTGGGTGTTCTTCACAGGCCACTCATCCTGGTTGCCCATGCCCCTTCACCTTTCTGAAACGTAGAGTTTCCTCATTGTCCTGTGTTCAGAATTCCCCACGTCCTGTAGGCTAAAGTACAGATTCCTCAGTTTGGAAGTCATGCCCCAGCCACACCATTTTCACCATTCTTACCCATTAATACCCAACAGGAACTTTGAGAAGAAGCCAGGCTAGCCTCCTTTGCCCCTGAAGTCATCCAGCCAGGAGCCCATGTAGTTTCCTCTCCTGATCCTTTCATCCCTTTTCTCTGTTTCTTCAGTTGCTACTCATCTTTTAAGAGTTGTGTTCACGTCCCATCTCCTCCTGGAGCCTCTTTCAGCCTCTGCTGGTCCCTCCCTGTCCAGATCCTTAGATCCATGTGCCGCCAGTGGAGCTCACAGCTCCTACACCTCACTATTTTGTCTCTCAAGCATGAGCTTTAGCATTGTCAGACAGTACTAGATGAGATGGTCATGTCTACTATTGAACAAGTCTTGCCGTGGACAAGTTTCTTAATCTCTCTGAGCCTCAGACTTCTCATCTGCACAGCAACTATGAAGGTTTGAGGTGCCAACCATGGTGACCTGTGGGAGTAAGAAGAACGGGGCAGGGGAGAGAATTGACCTGCATTAAGTAGCCACCATGTGGCAGACACTTCTGGTGCTTTACCTACATAGTAGTCTCTTTCAGTCCCCACAAGAGCTGTGAGGTGGCATTATCCCCTCCCTCCGCTCAATGAGGAATAAGGCAGCAGAGTTGAGGCAGTTCTACCCATTACTCAGCAAATATGTATTGGCCACTGTGGCAAGAAGAGAGTAATTAAGATGAGGTTCTCATAGAATTTACATTTGCATGAAAGAGATTTACCAAAGAATTCATTGTATACATATTAGTTAATTGCACTTGTAATGCTTTTTGACTATTCTACATAGGTGGGTTTTTACCCAATAAGACCTTAATTTTCAGTCTTTCAGCCAAAACATCACTTCTGGAGCCTGGTGGCTTCCATAATGCCCTAGATTCCTGCATTGTCAGTGTTCTTTCTCTATTCACTGTGGTTGCTTGTGTAATTATCTGGCTTCCCCTGTAGACTCTGAGGCCAAGTCCATGCCTGTCTTGTTCAGCATACCCTGGTGACTGGCCAGGTGCCTGACATGTGAAGGCTGACGAAGGCTAGGATGGAAGTGGTAACTGTGAAAGCACTGCCTAGACTGCATAATGGAACATGGGAGGGCCCTCAAAGATGATTCCTGAGTTTGGGATGTGGAGATGGGGATTGTCACTGATATCAGTATAGAAGTCAGGGAACGGAATTGGCCTCCCACAGTGGGATGATGGTGAATTTGATTGCAGATTCATTTATCATGGTGGGGACTTCAGGTGGAATTGTTTGTTGGAGATGAACTTAAAACTGTGGTGTACATATAGTATGTTTTGGAGTTTGGGTTAGTACTGATTGTTGACACCATAATCCTTTGTGACTTCCTGAGGAGAATATAGCAGATCAATGCCTGGGCACTGAAGAACATACAAGAAATACATATCAGGTGGGCTTTTCATGCCTACCAGGTGTTGCATTGCCAAGCAAATGAATTGGATTCAAGCCATCCCTCCTGGGTTGAAGAGCAACTGGTCACACATTCTCCATGAAATAACCTTTCTTCTACTAAGAAAAATGTTATATATATATTCTGTTTTGGGTATCAGATTTAACCATTTTTATCCAGCACATAACTTCTGAGCACCTACTGTGGACCACACACTTTTCTAGGTGCTAAGAATGCAATAAACAATAAAACATCTTGACTTTATGTTCTGGTGCTGGGAATTATACAAAAAGCAAAGAAGTATGTTTATATATGCAAATGGTGGTAAGTGCTATACAGAAAAAATGGAATGATAATTTAGGTGCACAGTCTTTAATTCTAAATTCTTGGTACCATATGTAGTTCAATATTTGGATTTTAGAAAGATAATATGGTACCTATACTGTCTGTTAATATGCCTAGTAGTAT